TCATCAGCGCCTACGCTCCGACGATGACCAACCCCGACGCCGTCAGAGACAAATTCTACGAGGACCTGCACGCCCTCTTGGCGACTGTGTCGAAGGCGGAAAACTTGAATGTCCTTGGTGACTTCAACGCCCGCGTCGGCACAGACCATACTGCCTGGAGGGGAGTGCTGGGTCCTCACGGTCTCCGCGGCTCCAACGACAACGGCCTGCTTCTCCTCCGCACCTGCGCAGAACACCGCCTCATCCTGACGAACACGTTCTTCTGTCTGCCGGAGCGAGAGAAGGCCACCTGCAGGCATCCTCGGTCGCGTCAGTGGCACCTGCTGGACTATGTCCTCGTCCGGAGGCGAGATCAGCGGGACGTGCTCGTGACAAAGGCGATCACGGGTGCTGACGGGTAGACTGACCATCGCCTCGTCATCTCGAAGACGCGTATTCGCCTACAGCCTCGCAGGAGACCACAAGGTAAGCGACCCCCAGGTAAGCTAATTGTTGTCTTTGCCCGCTCACCATCTTCATTTCAGCAATGAGCTAGCTCAAAGGCTAGACAACCTTTCAATCGCTACCGCCGACCCCGCAGCCGCAGCTGCCGAGAACGCCTCCGTGGAGAACCGCTGGTGTCAACTGCGAGACACGGTCCAGTCGACGGCGCTTTCCGTCCTCGGTCGCGCTCCCCGCCAGCACCAGGACTGGTTTGACGGCAACGACGCCGCCATCAGAAATCTGCTTGCTGAGAAGAACCGCCTACACAAAGCCTACGTAGATCACCCCACTGATGCCACCAAAGCTGCCTTCTACCGCAGTCGCCGCCAACTTCAGCAACGACTGCGCGAGATGCAGGACGCCTGGACTGCTCGCAAAGCTGAGGAGATCCAAGGGTACGCGGACCGCAACGAATGGAAGAACTTCTTCTCTGCGATCAAATCTGTCTACGGTCCGCCGACGAAGGGCACTACTCCTCTCCTCAGCGCCGACGGCAACACTCTCCTGACTGAGAAGACGCAAATCTTACAGCGATGGGCCGAGCATTCCTCGACCTCCCGCCATCTCTCCAGGAGACCATCAGGGTCGTGCAGCAGCTCTCCAGTGGGAAAGCACCCGGATCGGACGCAATCCCTGCTGAGGTCTACAAGCATGGAAATCCCCAACTTATGGATCACCCGACTGCGCTCTTCCAGGAGATGTGGCGTCAAGGCGAAGTCCCGCAAGCTTTCAAGGACGCAACTATCGTGCACCTATACAAGCGAAAAGGGAATCGCGAAGTCTGCGACAACCACCGCGGCATTTCCCTACTGTACATCGCCGGGAAGATCTTCGCCCGCATCCTGCTCAACCGCCTCAATAACCATCTGGAACAGGGTCTACTGTCGGAAAGCCAATGCGGCCTCCGTCATCATCGTGGGACCACGGACATGATCTTCGCCGCCCGCCAACTTCAGGAGAAGTGTCAGGACATGCGGACCCACCTGTACTCTACCTTCGTGGACCTGACGAAAGCCTTCTATACGGTGAATCGTGAAGGACTGTGGAAGATCATGCAGAAAGTCGGCTGTCCGGAGCGATTCAC